GGTTCTCACGGTCTCTTCGCTTGCGGATTTCTTATATTTTTCCTTCTACCCTGAAGTTGGAGGCGATACGTTCCTCCGAAACGTCGGTTAACACCACATATACATGGTGCCAAATCCCAGAAGACTGCTTTCTTCATAGTCACCGCCGTGAAAGCCTCAAATCTTACATCATATTTCTTCTTTGTCTTCTCCACAATACTGGGCCAGAAAGGGTTATAGATGTAAAGAGTCATTACTGTCTTGAATTTTTTGTAGCTTCTATCAAGTCTCGTTGCCTTTGCAGACCAATCAGGGCATCAAGAACTTGTTTGCACAGAAAGCTACGGATGTAGCTGCATCAGACCCCGACTACTCTATTCGAGACTTGTACAATGCTATCTCACGCGGCCAGCACCCATCATGGTCGTTCTACATCCAAGTGATGACTTTCGAGCAGGCAGAGAAATTTAAATGGAATCCCTTTGACCTCACCAAGGTAAGTGTAGCACCACATCAGTTCACATCATGGTCACACTTAGTTATTAATTATGAATGAAAATTGTAGGAATATCAACTTCAGTTCAAATTATAACTAATTATAGTGAAGTGATGCAAAGTTTTTGTACAAAATATCTGTCAAGAGTTTGCAAATGGATCCAGCATACATCATCACCTCCCGAGCTGTTTCCACGATCAGTGATAATACCGTGGTCTACTCATGAACTGCGACACTAACACTACTTAATTTATGGTCCTGAAATGATGTACAATAATAGATACTAGAAAAATATACCACTTCATGTAGATAATATTTTTGTAGTGCGATTGTATAGATAATGTGGGACCCTCAATGTCTCGTAACCCTATGAGCCTTCATGGCCTGGTACAGGGATAGCTTTACTTTTTACGTTTACTTTAAAGTAACAAGATAGTTACCATCTAAAATTTAGTATGGAGGTAGATTGTAAATATACCTACACACAGTGTATGAAATGTTTGTAAGGCAACAATTACAGATATGGCCACAGTATAAAATGTTACAGTTATATGTGACAGATTTAGCTTAGTGTCTGCTCTTCACAGGAATAAAATTATGATAATAATAATGATAGATCTACAAGACTACATAGCTATCCAATAGGAGGGCAGGCTTCATGAGTTCCATTCTAAAGTTCTTTCTCTTGCTTTCTTTGCTTTCTCTTTGACTTTCTCAAGTATTTCACAATATACTGTTTTTATATAAATCTGTAATTATTTTAAAATAGTGCAGAAATCATGTTCAAACTCCCTAATCTCAATGTTTGTATTGTTTTGGTAGAGAGGTGCAGTAGATCTAAAATATACAGGGTTACAACAAACGATTCATTCCATTTCAAAACACTATATTTTCCAAAGTACTACACATACAAATATGATTGATACATGAAAGGAACCGCAAACCGACCAAGTTTACAACTCCAGTTGACAGCATGACTGCAGCGCCTCACAAAATGGCGACGAAGCTGGAAAAGAGTTCCTGTGTGTTGGAATATGCGAGATGTTCGTCTGTTATTGCAGTGCAGCGTGCATTCAGAGCAGAGCACAGAAAAGAACCGCCATGTAAACAGAGCATTCTGCGGTGGTATCGGCAGTTTAAGGATACTGGTCTGTGTAAACAGAAAGGCACGGGGCGACCAATATAGTGTTTTGAAATGGAATGAATCATTTGTAGTAACCCTGTATTTGAAGTTTCTTTTGTGTGTAGTATATTGGATTTTCTAATTTTTGTTGATGTTCTTCAAGTTTTTTCCTTCTTCTTACTCTTCTGAAGCACAAGGTTTTAGGTTATGTTCCTGTTCAAAGGGTCATGCTAGAGCTGGATATATTGGTACCTCTCATCCGTTTAGTTTCGTAAGTTGCTGAAAATTTTTGATGTTGGAATATCAGATGCGTGAGTCTGGCCATGATATGGTCCATATGAATTATGTTGAGTGTTGGTCCGAGCAGCCACTTATTTCACTGCTAAATTTCATACATTTATTAATTTCCTTCATGCTATTGTGAGAACATCCCACATAACACGCTGTTTCGCCAGTCTAACAGACAACACTCACTCCTAGGTCAATATCACATTGCCGCACATTGCTGGCGACGCTCATATTTATACAGCACTCGATGTCCAACCCACCTGTAGATCATCACGCGCGCTAACCAATCATGTTGCTGCCAGCACTTGCTGTCCAGCTCACATTTAGATCATCACGTGTGCTAGCCAATCAGCGCTCACAATTGCAACTGCAAGTTTCGCTCTGCCCATCAAGCATGGTATAAAAGGTGGAGCCCAAAGCTCGCAATCATCAGTCATCAGCTCTTCACAGCTACCAGGCAGCTAAGGTGGTTACCGCAACCTCGCTCTGTGACCAAGCAGCTAACGTAGCTGCCGCAGCTAACGTAGCTGCCGCCATGCCTTGAGTGCCACGCTCTACGACCAGGCAACTGACATAGTTGCCACAAGTCTCCAGCGACCACACCCTGCGACCAGGCAACTAACGCAACTGCTGCAACTCCAGCAACTACACTGTAGGCAGCTGTTTCTACCGGCGCATGCAGCACTACATCACCAGCCAGACAGGCCAGCTGAACAGCCAGACTTGGCCTACTACGAAGGAGCAAATTCTGCCAGAGCACTCGTGGTGGAACAAACTGCCCTTTTGAGGGCCAGCCAACTTTTGAACATTCCACATACCTTCACAGCTATTCTGTACATTCATTTTATACAATTTAATATATACAATTGTTACAGTTGTACGTGGTTGTCATTTAGAACATCGACAATCCCACACTACGTTCCAAACTTTAAATGGAAATATCATTGAATGTGGTTGCTGCTTTTCAGTGCTTAAGTTTTATGGGTATGTTTGCTCATTGATTTCAGTCTGTTTCAGGTTTGGCCACACTCTGACTACCCATTAATTCCTGTTGGCAAACTTGTGCTTGACCGCAATCCTGCCAATTACTTTGCTGAAGTGGAGCAAATTGCTTTCAGCCCTGCTCACATGATACCTGGCATTGAACCAAGTCCTGACAAGATGTTGCAGGTATCCATTTTATGTCATGATGTGCTTTGGTAACAGTTAAGTGGATGATAATTTTGATATTCTGATATTCTCAGTCCAGAAGATAAAATAGTTAAGTCAACTATTGTTAAACAGGATACATAAGGTAAAGTTATCCTGGGCTTAATTAAGTACCACTCCATGGAGACATGGCGGAGTGGAGATGTAGTGCCTCCATCCTTGACCTCAGCACTGTATGGAGGTGAGTGGTCAGCTTCATGCCTCAGCTGCTTTACTGCCAAGGAAACAGTCCATGGTACCCAATGGATACGAGGCTGGGTGAGCATCAGAGTGAGTCTGAAACTGTAGAAGAGAGAAAAATCCCTTGCTCCTGCCAGGAATTGAACCTTGGCTGTCCAGCCCATAGCTCATCACTGCACTAACAGGAATTAAATCAGAAGCGGCTAGAAATAGATCGTACTAACATACAGTCTTGTTAAAAATATTGTTGTAGATATTTATGTGCACATTTCATGAACAGGGCTGGTGTGACAACACAGGTAAACAAAGGGGCCACCTGAGAAGGCATTTTTGGAAACTTCTTTTGTGTTAAATAGAAATTAATTTCTGCTGATCTCTTGTGCATAACATGAGAGCGTTAATTGGCCGTAATATAAACATTGTTACACATTAATGAAAATTACTTTTTTTTAAGAATTATGACTCCAGTAACAATTTTTGTCACAATGTCCAAAAATTTTGTATTATTAATTTCGATAAAGTTTTGAGAAAATTGATCTATTTTAACTGGAGGAGGAAGAGAAGTGGAATTTCCAGACACCTGGGCCGATATTTAGTCTGATGCCAGCCAGAAGTTTGTATGAGCACATAGCGGGTTGGTCTGCATGGTTTGTCCCAGAACCTGCTTAACCTATTTTGTTAAACATGATACTAAATATGTGCACCAAAACTGTCTGGGAAATTCAGTTTTGGTCAGAATTTATCAAACATAACCCCTACTGTACATGAAACTCAGAAGAGAGTTGTGAATTTTTCTCAGAAATACCTCAGTGTACAAAAGATGTGATGTACAATAAAGAACTCGTTAAAATATGCCAGTATTATCTGAAACATTTCCCGATTCTGTGTATTTTTAATGGAATACAAGCCAGGTAGTACAATCCTCTGTTTGTAATTGGCTTTATCAGCCAAAATAACCCTGTAATGGATCAAGTTGGCACAAGCAGTAATGCTTATAGCTGATGTTCAGGAGATGTCCACTTTGTATCTTGGCTAGGGCACCAACTATCCTGCCTGAGGTGTTTTTTGGTTTCCCTTAGTCCTTCCAGACAATGCCAGGATACTACCCTAAAGTAGGCCATAACCGTTTGCTTCCACATTCGTTCTGCATCCGTTCTGATTTATTGTTCATGACCATCCATTCATTTGACCCTACAGTCTTGAGCCTTGCGAGAGCATTGTTAAATAAGTACAAGTAACGGCCATACATTAATGTAAATTTGTAAATAATGCATTTTGACAATGTATTTTCATGTGATTGTGACTAGAGAAAAGTTTTGGATTGGTAATTGGATTTATTGGACATTTACACTCTTAACTACGAATAACTGTGACAGTCTCACTGAGTTACACCCTCCAAAGATCACTGTAACTATAATACACATAAAGTGTTCTCAGTCTTCACTAGCCATTGCTTGGTAACTGCTTCCAACAGCAGATGTTCCCCTTCCTCTAGATTCACTCACTCAGCTGACAAACTGACACAACTTGTCTGTTATGTAGCCCCAGCATGGACTGCCCAGAAAACGTTCCATTATTGCTTGTTTTCTCAGTATCAGGGAAACTGTTTCCACGGAGCTGTTACCTGGCCGTGGGTCTACATGTCACGTTATGTATTTCATGGGGTCACACATGGTGACTTTTGTTCGTTAAAGACAGGATGTGTGACATGGTTACAGCTGCTGCTGCTTCAGACTAAAAGGATGTGAAGCACATAGCTATTGCTTTACTTGATGTTGCAACCTCTGACAGTTAACACCGCTCAGCTAACATCTGGTAACATTTCCCAGGGTCGACTTTTCAGCTACTCAGACACGCACCGCCACAGGCTGGGAGCCAACTACTTGCAGATACCAGTAAACTGTCCCTATCGGACACGTATAACCAACTACCAACGTGATGGACCTCAGACCTTCACCAACAACCAAGAGGGGGCACCTAATTACTACCCAAACAGCTTTAGTGGGCCTGAGGATGCACCTCACGCTGCTATTACCAAGTTCACTCCTACAGGAGATGTGGCCAGGTAAGCACATTGGCCCTTTTTTTTATGATTACAGGACTTGGAAGTCAGACATTGGTAATACCAGAACATTCCACTGGATATGGTCCTGGGCCAGTGTGGTGAACCTCCAACCTCTGAATAAGATAATTTTTAACCCTTTGATCGCCATAATGTTTCGTGAAACTTCTTTATTGGCGCTTAACCTTGTAAGGGTCTTTGTCTCCTCCATGGTTTCATAACATTGAAGTTTTCTGGGGTGGAGTCATTGGCCCCACCCCCAACCTGGAGGAACAGGCACTACATTTCATCTGGCGTCTACCCTTTGACCTGTCTGGCATTGGTAGCCCCTACAGGAGTTTATGCTTCACCAATATAGCTCTCTGGATCACTGGGGCATGCAGAGTTCCTGTCCAAGATAAAGCAATCCTCCTTGAGGAGGCTTCTCCTAAATATTATGTTGCACTTGGTGCTAGGGCAGTTTCTTAATCCTAAGACAGTCGGCAGGACTCTTTGGGTGGAGGGTCAGCCCATCACAAGGACACTACCCATACAGGATAACACAAGCACGGAATAAACACAGACAAATAGCCATGCCTTGAGTGGGATTCGAACCCACGATCTCAGTGTTTGAGTGAGTAAAGACAGTTGATGCCCTAAACTGCACGGCCACTGTGATTGGCCTTACCTTTACCAGCGTTATGATATTAGTGTTTGTATCAGCACACAGAAACAGCAACAAGAACTCATTTCTCTGCACGCTGTTGCAGATACAACACTGGAGATGACGACAACTTTAGCCAGCCTTCTATTTTCTGGAAGAAGACCCTGAAGCCAGAGGAGCGAGATCGTCTGGTGCAGAACATTGTGGATCACTTGAAGGATGCTGCAGACTTCATCCAGGTAGACCACTGTTTACTCCTCCATAGTAGGACAACGTAAGGCGTTTTGGGCATACATTTAACAGGCCCATGGACATGGCACACAAACAACACATTTATTTGTGTTTCTGTTGTATGATTATTCTAATACCAAAGTAATGGAGACGGGATAGCTTAGTCGGTATAATGAGGGGCTATGGGCTGGATGGCCAGGGTTCAATTCCTGGTAAGGGGGAGAGATTTTTATTTATTCCACAGCTTTCAGACCAGCTTTGGAACCTAACCAACCCAATCCGATGGTACCAGAGGGCTCTTTCCCGGGAGTAAAGTGGTCGGGGCAGGGAACTGACCACTCACCTCCATATAGTGCCAAGGTCAAGAATGGTGGAGCTATTCCTCCACTCCCTCACATGCTTTCATAAGGTGTTTAAGTAATTAAGCACAGGAACAACCTCGCCTCCTCATCTTCGTCTTCTTTCTCCGCACTGCACCAAATTAATGTACAGTCAGATAAGTTCAGTTCAGCTGGACACCATATTTATTTTCACATGTTCAGTATGCGCTAAAATATACAGTACTGAAATGAAGAGACGTCCTGTTGATACCACTGTCTATTCATGTGAAGGCCCCTTGCACGACAGAACCTTCTCAAATCCTGAAGAAATGGTCCGATCACCATGTCCGTGTAGTGTTCTTGGGTGACAGTAAGAGCATTGCCTTCCTCATCATCAATGAAATAGGGGCCTAATATACCGTGTGCTTAGATGGCACACCATATCGTCACATGTTTACTATGTAACGGTTTCTGGACGATAACCTCTGGCCACTTAAAACGAAGGAAGCAAGTTGTCTGGCGACCACTTCCATATGAGCGGAAATAATACTCAACTATGAATACTTTTCCTCCGTTGAGAGACCCCTTTCCAACGACAACTGCACAACACAACTTCCTTTTCACTACTGGGAACACGTGCGGCTGGAGCTATGCCCAGTCGACAAACACACATGCGCGTTCGAGATGCGCGAGTTTCAGTACTGTATATTTTGGTGCATACTATACTTCAAGTTACAGTGACAGCAGTGGTATGTTTTGAGATTTGTGCAGTGATGATTTTTCAGATCGTGGTCTTCTGGGTTATGTCACCGTGCATATTAATGTTTCTCCTCCTCATTTCTGCTGTAAAGATGAATGAATGTTCCTCCAAAATGTAGGTATCTCTCTGCAGCACTATTGAGTATCACAGACCAAAGGACTACAATCTAAACAACGAAGGTGTGTAACACTTCTGCAGGTAAAGAGTGCAGCATCTTGGTTGTAGCACCCTGTAGTTGAGAGAGAATCTGACGTTTCAGAGGAACACATAGCGTCCATCATCAGCTGAGTTTTTCAGCCCGCTTTTGCTGGTTTTCTGCATGGTCTACTGCTCAGCTGTGAATATGAAGGCAGCGTGTTCTGTTGAAACATCGAGCTATCTCAGACTACACGGTGCTACAACCCAGGGGACTCTACTCGTAATAATCACCATGACAACCTCTTATACAATGTTTGTAGGTATTGAGAAACACAGGTTCTTATGCTTCTTTTTGTTAGGGCTAAGCTGCCTACTTCGTGATCTCATCTTTCATGCATTTCCCCCTTTTTTTTTTCCCTCTCACAGGAACGCACCGTGAAGAATTTTAGCCAGGTGGATGCCGAATTTGGTCGCAGACTGACAGAGGGTCTACGCAAGCATGCCAAGAACAATATCATCGCCTCTGCAAATCTTTGAGCTGCTATTTTTTTCAAACAAACGAACTCAGGTCTTCGTGGGACAAATTCTTGGTTTTAAAGACTTAACCTATATTTTATGTTTCATTGGTGTTTATAAAAGTACTTGCATTTACTACTTTTGTACACTTGGTGGGGTCAGGCATCTTGTTTTGTTGATGATATCTGTCTGTATGTACATTGATATATTCTGTATGTATATGTTGGAAACATAATATAATGGGAAAATATAGTTTTTGGTAATAATTTAAGTTTTTGTTATTAAATAGCAATTGCTGTGTATATCTGTACAGTGGAATGCTGTGATGCATAGAATTTTGGATTCCTGTTATTATGATGGCATTATGTATGTGTGTAAGGGGTGGGCCATAAAATTCGGCCCTCGCACCGCAACCTTCAATGATCTGTTGTGCTTCCCCTTTGGATTAACCCTGTATTAATCCTACACTTCAAATGAAATGTAGGACTTTATTTATTCGGGCTTCATAAAGGTCACTTGGTTCCATGAAGAACTGATCCAGGTCACACAGGATATGTGTGGCTGATTCATCTTCTTGTAGGAACCTTTCACAGGTGGGTCCTCTGTCAGTCCCAGTTTAAAAAGGTGTCCTTTTAGGTGTCAGTGTCCATGATGGCATTTACAAATTCAGCGGATTATTTTTGGATNGTCTTCTTGTAGGCACCTCTCCCAAGTTGGGTCCTCTGTCAGTCCCAGTTTGGAAAGGTGCCCCTTTAGGTGGCAGTGTCCATGATGGCATTTACAAATTCAGCGGATTATTTTTGGATACTTCTAATATTTTCAATTTAAATTACCATGACTAGACATTATATTCCTGAAGTTATTTAGAAATAATGATTTGCTTCTTAAAGTGGATTCAAGCATTTGCAGAGAATCTAAAAGTATGTTTTGAAGAAAACGGGAAGTATGGAAAGGAACAAGAGGGAAAGAGACAAAAAGGAACATAAGGAAGACAATTAGTTTTGTGTGTGTGTGTGTGCGTGCGTGCGCGCATGTGAACGCGGCAACTCACTGCCTGGTCTGTGGCACAGCCTTGAGACAGAAGTAAAAACAGAGCGCTGGGCATGGAAGGGAGATGAAAGATCTCTACTGATGTCTGTATTCATCTCGCGACTTGATCAGTCTACGTCATGTTGGATTCTTNTCCAAAACCGGTCACAGTAGCCGAGCGATCTCAGGCATGTACTGGCTTCGCTTGCTCAGAAGCCAGAATCGTGGGTTCAAATCCCACACAAGGCATGGATGTTTGGTGTATGTATGCATTTATTCTGTGTTTATGTTGTCCTATGTTTAGGTAGAGGCCTTGTGAAGAGCTGATCACCCATCCAAGGAATTCTACCACCTATAAAACGATCAAGAAACTGAGAAATCAGCCCTATGCCTCAAAGTTGGAGCGAGATGAAGAAAAAACCTCCAAAATTCTGACTTGAGCATCCATGCTGTTGGAGGGTGTACTGTCGAGTAGGAAGCTGCATGTTGGGGTGACAGCTTGCCATGGAGGCTGAAAATGGTCAGTAGGAACTCCAAGAAGAATGACCAGTGAGGCTCCAGTAAGCTGACAGTGGTTTTATGAATGCTTTCAAAACAAAATGTCCGTGACATTGTAATGCTGTGACT